GAGAAACGAGAGCTTGTATCGCATACGCTTATGGAAGCAACTTTATAAACGAACAAGAATTTGTACTTTTTGTACGACTGTAACAAGTCAACAAATCCAGAGTTTCCGTACTGGAACTACGACAGGTTCGATTTAGACGAGAAACCAAACGACGAATGCGAGGCTGAGTTTCGTTTCTACAGGGAGAACATTTATAAACTTGCTGAACAGCTACAGCTACCTGACTAGATAACAACTTACAATGGTTTAGTTGTTGTTTCGGTACCTGCATTATGCATGTATCTCAAGCGCTTTGCCTATCTTTGTCGATATGGAGATTTGGTTTATCATTTCGCCAGACCAGTTCCTGAGATTTCCATCATAACAAACCACATAATGGACTTGATTTACGATCGGTGTCATCATATTTGACCGCTTTTAGTGTTGGTTGAACTCATAGCGTTCGCCATGGCATTGTAGAAGGTCGCTTTCTTGAACGAAAACAGGCAAGCAAAATTAAAATCAAACGTCAAGGACATGCCCCTAATGTGATACTTAAATTATCTGGCATAAATACCCGAAGTATCGAGAGAAAACTTTGCCAACTAACCTCGCGTCCTCCTGTTTCCAAGACGCTGACAAATCGCTCTCGCCAAAGTCGTCGACTTTGGCGCGAAGCCAATCTCGTTCCCAGAGCCCACGTGTCTTTTGGTCAGCGCCAAGACACGGAGCTCTGGAATAATCATTTTCCAGACTCCAAGATTTTAGGAGTTCCGGTTTCACGGTGCATGCGTGCCTTGGTTTGAAACATGGTAATTTCTTTCCCAGAGCCCTCGTGTCTTTTGGAATCTTTCAACCATGAAAACCGTCACTCCGAGGATGAGAAGCCAGGCATTCTTTCCGAGGAAGCTGATCATCGATCCGGCGACCTTGACGATGAAGCCGACGATAGTCCCGATCAGACCGGGAAGAATTTGCGTTATCTTTTTCCCGAGATTCTTGAGACCATCCCCGACTCCCTTCGCGACTGAGTTCAGGGAGTTGACAATCACTCCGATGACCGTTCCCACTGCCAGGACCTACTGCCGTGACCGTCAATCCATACTTTTTGAAGATGTTCTTCACTCTCTCTCTGACTGGGAGTCTCTCTCCGTGAGCATCTCTCTCATTCTCGAGAGCATCAATCTGCTTCATTTTCTCAGCTATCCTTTCTCTGGATCTTTCTCTGACTTCTTGAGCTTCGTTGTCATCATTTGCTATTGTCTCGTCTTCTCTGATGGACTTATTTAGTTCTTCAATGTCTTTATATTTTTCAGCAATCAACACTTCACGCTCTGTACCGAGAGAATTTTTTATTTGTTTTGGTAGCTTTGGATTAAACCTTCCAACGTTAGTTTCCCTCTCTACAGTGTACAGTTCGTAAGCCCTCTTACCTCGACCAAACATCTTCACCTTTGATTTTCCTTTTTTACTGTAAAAAGCTTCCAGTTCTGTAGCTTTTTCTTCAGGAAATATCTCGGTAAGCGCGTCCCATGCCCTTTCATTTGAAGCGAGTGCGCGTGAAACGGCATATTTTCCTCGATAAAAGAAGTTTCCGCAGTTGTTGGCTCTTTTTCTCTCTCTGTTCATCGTCGTCAAAGGAATATCTTCTCCTAAAGGACCAGGAGTTGAAGATTCGAAAGGATTAGTTGTTCCGTCTTCATCATCATCGTCATCTTAATCATGTTCTAATAGTGGATCCGTTTCACCTAAATCAGTCATTTTGAATATTGAAATATAATATTACGACAATTGAAAATGGAAGTTAGTGGAATGAACAACCCTTCTCTCGAAAAGAAGACATCGAACGCGTTAAAGTCTGATAGAAAAGTTCACCGAGTCACACTCAGTCCAAATCAGGCATCACCGGGTGAAACTCTTCACATCCCCGTTCCGAAGCTTGACGATGGAGTGGTCTTGGTTTCGGGATCACTGGCATTGATTTTCAATTTGACAGTGAGTGGCCATGCGAATAACTTTTTGGTGAACAATGTCGCGAGAGCATTGGTTAATCGAATGACCGTTAAATTCGCGGGAGAGATATTGCAAGATACGGACGGTTATGATTTGATCAAGCTTTATGAAGACCTCTTCTTGACTGAAAAAGAGAGAGCGAGTCGGATAGCGGAAGGAATTCAGTCTGAAGATCTCTCAAAGATCAGATGTAATGCCGGAGACAAAAAGACTTTGGGAGTCGTGAAAGAGAACAATGTCAATGTTGTATATGGGAACAAATATAGGATTCCGATATTCTGGATGATCATGGAATATTCTTACCAGGGGCATTGAGTGATGAGTTAGTCTTGGAAATGAGACTCGCTTCCGCTGGGAGTGTCGTGAAGGGAAGCGATCCAGCTAACCTTGAATATGAATCGACAAATATCCGTCTTGAATATGAAGTCATTCACAGTAAAGATCTCGCGGAAAGGGCTTTGTCAAATTATAAAAACGGGAAGAGATTCATGTATGAGTACATGACTCACCACAAGACGATCTCAATAACGAAGGGAACTGATTCCATCATCAATGAAAGCATCATTGTTCCTAGGAGATCGATGAAGGGGCTCCTCCTCCTTTTCTACGAGCCATACGCAGGGGGAGCGAGAGAGAGTGAGAAGACATTCAATCCCGACATCACTCAAGTAAAAGTGACCGTGAATGGATTCCCGAATAAGGTTTTCAGCCAGGGAATGAAAACGAGGGATATATGGGAAGAAGTGAAAAGGAAGTTCGGAAAGGAGAACAGTTCGATGACGTCGGGTGAATTCTATGCCGGAGACAGATTCGCCTTGTTCGTTGATTTAAGGAGCATGAAAGACAATGAATTGCATGGTTCAGGATTAAGATTAGTGAATTCCAAAGATGGTGTTCAGTTGACCATGAATAGGAAGACTTCAGAGGAGGGTGAAGTAAAATGTCACATCTTCATTTTTTCAGACGCACAGTTCAACATCGTGAATCGCGAGCTTGAGAGTATTGTGTATTAGTGAGCCGGTCATTTGACAGAATCGATAGATCCATCGTGAACGAGAGAGAACCGGTTCTCTACTATCGATGGGCCGGGGAGGAGTTTCGTCAGAGAAGACTTGATGGTTGTCCCGAGGGGTACTGAGTTGCCTCCCGCTTGAGGTTTTTCTGCAATAATTTATTTCATGAAAAAATTATTATTTTTTCTCTTGGAATGAGCTTGCGGATTTTTTTTAGGGTGTTTCAAGGTCAAAGATGGTTGAAATCCTTTGGTCAAGGTCGAAGTAGTCACGAAATCCCAAGGTCAAGGTTAAAGTAGTCAAAAATGGTCGAAATCCCAAGGTCAAGGTCAAAGTAGTCAAAAATGGTTGAAATCCCAAGGTGATGGGCACGTTTTGTCCAAGAACCTATTGTTAATTAATTATAACATGGATGTCCAATATCAAAGATGTACTTATGGTAATGGTGCTGCTCTCTTATTTTGCAAGGCGTACGGAAGTACGGACAGTCACGTGACAACCAAAATTTTTGAGATCGATGGGTTACCAAATTTTCTAAGGTATGGGGCTCCGCTCGCGCG